CCCATAGGAAACACAAAGCAGATATGCTGATATATGCATATACAGGGATAAATATCGCTATCGTGATAAACCTCAAAATAAATTACCTGAATCTGAAGGGGAAAGAAGTCGGTATTAGGCTACTCCTTTTCAGAGTTTCTAAGACTCATGTCTCAGACCATGTCTAACCTATGCGATCCAGGAGGACTTCCCAGCCTCCAAGTCTTAATATATGCCTGCCACGCTCTGACGTGGAGTCAGAGGCATAGGCCAGATCCTTCCTCCTATACCACCAGGGAGGTGTAACAGCTGTCTTCTACCTCCGTGGGAAGAAACCTAAGCATGCAGGCCAAAAGCAAGCTACTGGTGGGGGTCCCCATTCTGGAGACCTGAAGATTCAGGATGCCAGGCCATGCCAGGGGACCTGCCTCGCAGTACAAGTGCAAACTCAGGATCTTTAGACACAAGCAAGCCCTGTAATCCACTCCTGATGGGTCCTGGCACAAGTCATCCTTGAGCTGCTCAGGCTGGGCTAGTTTTTGACACACCCAGAGAGAGAACTGGAAGCAGCCAAGGAAAGCCACATGAGCGGATATTTAGTGAGCTGAAGGGAGGGAAGTCAGACTGTAATTTTGTACTGCTCTTGGCAGCCAAATCCTCTCTTGAATCTCGTCCATAGTTTCTGAAATGTGTTTAATTTACCTTTTGTGCGAGAGGTGCTGGAATGTGGAGGAGGGATGTTGGTTCTCCCTGGACACCGGCACATACACCACGGCGGACCGCAGTACAGGTGCTCCTGCGAGCCCATGAACTGGAATCTCACATTACTGGATGGTGTTGCAACACTGTGAACCTCTCTGCTGCTGTCATGCTGCAGTCAGGTGAGAAGTTCATCTAGCTCTGTATTTTGTCTCTAAATTATGGCCCTGACCACATCCTCGTTGGGGGAAGGTAACAAAAATGTCACCCTGATTTACCCTCCTATCTTCCACTGAGCAGCGAGCTGCAGGTTGCCATTGGTCCAGCTAATCTCCATTATTTCTACTTTAGTCTTGCAATGACTCTTCCAAGAGTCCAAGTTCCACAACAAATTCTGCACTTCGTGAAAGGGGACTTCATTTCCTGTTTCTTATTTCGCATCTTTCCCCTGGAAAAGATGAAGAACAATTACTGCTAATGCAAGATGAGCAGCCTTGGCACCAGATAGTCCTGACTACTCAGATTCCAGGCTGGAGGGTCCTCAGTGGAACTAATGGGAATCTTTCCAGAGCAGCTTTACCTAAAGTCTAAAGGCATGGACATACTGCACTCCTAGAATCCCATAGGCACATAATCCTCTTCAGTCCTTTACTAAAGAACGATTAGCAAAAAGGTCTACAAAATCTACTTATTTCACAATACTAAACTGCTTCCAGTGCATTCCCAGATGTCAAATTCCCTCTACATTCCCAATGCAGGAGCCAAACTCTTCGGCTTCTCTCTTTGACAATTTCCACTATCCACAGAGGGATGCCTGATTACAAAAATCTGCGGTGGCTTAACTGAATATGAAAGTAGGACAAAGATAAAATAACATGAAGTATTAACCATTAATTCAGGGAAAATCTAGCACTGCGATAAATGGTGCCTAATCACGGCTGTGTTTAAGTCATTGCTGAAATATAATGCTTGGGGCACGGAGAGGCAAAATAAGGAGCGCTGAAGAAAGATCAGCACTGCAAGGCCGTTTAACTCAATTAATATACTCCCATTATCACAGTTAGTAAAAGTAAACAGCAGTCGTTTCTAAATATCTCATTTTTATACTGCCTATTCGAATACTTGCTATACTGCTCGAAACCTTGGCCCCTGGAGGCACAGGATTACATCAACTTCTCCGTTGTCATTTTCTTCTCCCCCTAAAGCAGGCTTTAAAAACAGAAACTTGACGCAAGCTCATTTAAAACCCTCGCAGGGTCACGGAGAAACAAACAAACCCACTGGGTTTTTTTATGCCATGACTTTCAGAAAATCTCCTGCGTGTTTTTGTTTTCTGGGTTTAATTATAGAAGTCAGAAATACACAGAGGCTGTGTCAATGACCGAACTTATGAGTCAAATTAACAAGCAGTAAATTATCCACAACAGATGTAGCTCTACATAAACAGAAACGTACAGGGGGAATAAAATACCTGCAAGGAGATGATCAGAATCAGCTCTTTGCAAGGTTCAGAAAGGCAGAAAGCAAGCGCTGCAGTGATGTTTCTGGGTCCTGCCTTTCCAGGGCTAACTACAAGGCACTCCTCCGGCGGAGCAGGTTTACCGGGAAGCTCTAGGCGGCTGCTCTAGCCCAGAGAGGCGGTCATTGAACTGCTGCTATTCTACAGCCTCCGCAGGCCTGAGTCAAACTAAGCTCAGACATGGGAGAGAATCAGGCTCACGGGAGCTGCGCCTTTTAACTTTAAACTCCAGCTCCTCTAAACCTACCTGTCACCCTTCTCTGAATCCTCCTCCTTTCATGGGCTAGTTATTAAGTGTTCCTAATATACCTGTTAGATCTGTTAAAAAACCTCAGAGGAAGAAACTTGGTAGCAATTCTTTCTTACATACCACCTCAGTTTTAATTTACACTTTAATGTAGGTTATTATCAGCTCAGGAATAGCCAGGACTATGTGTGAATTCACATATATCGACGTGAACACCACAACCTACGAAAAAGGGAAACATAATTCAGACACAGTGATTTTATTTGACTTTGTGACTATAATCCTGACCACTGTAGTTATAAGGAATGCGTAGTAACACAGGTTTGCAAGCACACTGCACACTGTGCTTTCTAATCCTAAGGACTGATATGGAAAAAGAATAGATTTGTAAATACTGTGGAAGGGAGAGACATGCAAAAGTGTATGCCCTGTCCCCAGCAACCGTGCATAGATGAAGAGCATCTCATTCTTATCCATGACTTTACTTGAAAACCTGAATGGGAAAAGCGCTCAGGAAGATGTATACTCCAAAAGGAGAATGTTCTGGCACAAAGTTAAGAGGCTATGGATGGCTCTCAATGGGATGCCGGCACTAATCCCAGTCTCGTTTCTCTGTTCAAACAGCAAATTAATTGGCACACGCACCTCACTGAGGATGTTTACGGCATACTTTGCAGACATGCATAGCCAAAGAGGCCATGTTTTGAACCTGTAAATTACTCACACATTTTACATTTTAAATAAACCTGTAGATTTATTGTACTATAGTACAGCATGTGCCTTTTTAACCAAAAGCTCAACATCACACAACACTTTAATCTTCCATTTAAACATACACAGTCCCACAACACAGCTCGGTTCAGCTAGGAAAGCTACATAATGAATTAATTTATCGAGAGTCCTGGCTACACTGTTCTTAAGGATGTTTACTTACAGCAAGAACAGTGGCAGTGGTTCGTGTTGTAGCATTTAATCACTTTAACCTGTTCTCAGCACAGTAATAGCAAGCAGTTATCTAGAGCAAAACAAAGAGATCATTTCAGGGACACTACATTTAATCGCAAATGCATGAAACAGTAGACCAGAGGATCTCACGCACGTAATACAAGTAAGGATTAGAAATTGGTTATGAGATCACTTTGATGTAATGTTTGCACTATGCCACACAATCCACCACACAGGAAGACCAGATGCATGACAGGCATCGCACCATGTAGTAATATTGTTTGGATTGAAATTGTGAGGTTTGGAAGGGGCAGAGCAGGGTGTTCTGCACAAATATAACTTGCCTTACTACATTAGTTTACAGCTCAGAAACACTCCTGTAGCCATTTGCCCACTTGTCAGCAGTCTCTTGTTTTAATTCATTTTTATACTGTTTGCTTCGATTTTACCTGGTTCAGTCAAAAACAGTATTGTTACTTCCAGACACGAAGTGTTTTGTGCTACGTGTTTTAGCCTTTCAAATGGCATAAACACCCAAGTTGGTGTAACTGAGCATCCTTTACGCATGCTCTTGTGCACAGCTAGCCACAAGTTGTTATCACGACAAGTTCAGATACGATTCTTCATTTGCCACAGGGGTTCCTCATTACAATGGAGATTCGAAGTTCATCACTGCTTAACGACTTAGAGCAAGTGAAGTTCCCCTGAAGTTTGGAATTAAATATCTACTACCCAAATGAGCTACAGTTTACATAGCAAATTCTTCTTCAGAGAAAGTTTATGGCTTTTTATTGCTGTTCAATTTATCAATGTGTGTCAAACCTTAAGCCTGTTACTTTAAAGGATCAAGTGCTATTTTTATTAAAGAATTTCAAATTCTCAAAACCCAGTATTTTCAGTAGATTTTGAAATACCCAAAGGAGGTAAATTTGGATCCTACTCCTGAACATGTGATTTTTCACTTACGGGGGGAGCATGATAGTGCATTGTTGGTTGGTTCTAAATGGTACTGAACTCCTACAGCATCAACTAAAATAATACGCTAATCAAAACACAGACAGTGATCCTAAAGAAACAGAGGAAGGAAATCTATATCAAACATCTGATCTGGAATTCAAATAGACCAGCAATAATGCGTAAGCTTTCAAACAGACGAGATGCTTAGCTGCTATCAAGTAGCACACCAGCAGTGGTTTCAGAAGAACTGTACCAAACTGGCACCCACTACGGTTCATATGTATTCTCTGATTCCGCAAATTTCACTCATCTTAGACAAAATACTAAAGTAAGTTAATTCAAGTATACTAAAAAAAATGGGAGGAAGAAGGATCTTTTTAAATCAAAGTTGCTTTTTGTATCATCTTCCAAGTATTTTGGGAAAATTTCACCACACTGAAAAAATTTTCACTTGTCTGTCTTGCTTCTAGCTTTAGGTAAGACTAAACAGCAGAAGAAACAAAGTTGGAAACAAAACCATTCTTGGCTTGGGAGACTAAATGCATGTCCTCAGTAGACTTCCAGTTCATTGTCTAAACTGTAATGTTTTGGTAGCTTTCAGTGAACATATGAACTTTTGGCTGATTATATAGACACCACTGAGACATGTAAAGATTGTTGAAAAGGTAGGTATCTAACTAAACAGACATCACCTGAAATGATTGTTTTTTTCTTGCTGTAAAACACACACAAGCAGCATATTAACAAGATGCACAAGCTCCTCTTCTTCACCCATTCACAATTTTTAATTTGGTTAATAAGTAATGAGAAATAATTAAAACCTGATCTTGAAATATCATTAACAGTTTAAGGAATAAAGTTCTGCTATTTCCTGAATTCATTCCATGCCATCTTTAATAAAAGAGCTTACGCAGATTCCTTCTGCTTACTAAAATGAAGTCAGCTTATGTTTCTTACACATTTAAATAGCCCCAACACCGGAGACATACAAAGTGTTATACTGAATTTTAATCCTTGTAAAACGTTATTACACCACACACTTATTATAAATCTTTTCAATCCATTATAGAACTCAGTAAAGAGCACTGTCTATTACTATGCACTGTCAAATATTTCTGGCAGTATTGGGAATTGACTACAGCATATTTCTTTTTTAAAATCAAGAGTTAACCTACATATTCTGAACTTGCATATAATACACAACAGATTGTACTTCCATATAGGCTGCAAAGACATTCACTCATTTTTTTCTGATTTGTATATAAGAGTAAATTTTCTATAACAATATGAAAGAAAATTAATAACTTTTTTATCTAGCTAAGAGGCTAGTAGTTATTTATAATCATATTAATCAAAAGATGACTGAAAAATTCAAAGTTAATTATTGTGAAGTGCACAAAATCTAGAATATAGGGACTTTCCACAGTACATTATACTAAGTCAACATATAATAGATTAAAAGCTGTAAAGCAAAAATCTTCATTTAAAAATTTAGTGTTTCTGACATCATCTTCCACCATTCCATCAATTCTTCTTTCTCCTCTTCTTTTCTTTCAGACAATGACTCCAGTTCAAAATCAACCTGAGTAAGAGAAACAATCAAAAACACCAGTAAGATTTGCAGAGAGAGAGAAGTGTAGGCTTTTAAGAGTCATTTATTGAAAGAAGTTGTTTAACACAGACATGGGGCTTAGGGAGGTACCTTCCATTTCAGGCTAGGTTTATTTCAAAGTCTCTCAGGGCTGATTTAAATATGTGCAATACTAGCATATAAGCACAATAAACTTATCTAAAAAATGCACATAAGTGAGAAAAATTTCCAAAAGAAACCAGACATCTGTCCAGTCTTTGACTTGTCTAAACACTTCACAGAATATGAGCCAATTAAATTAAAATTGAATAATAGCCAGCCACATAAATCTTCTAGCATATAATAAAAAGTATCATGAGGGGATTGCTGTCTAACACCTAGCAATGCAGACCCCCAGCATATCAAAATACGTATTCAATTTTATGCCATCAAGAAGATGCGGGGAGCTTTTTGGACACATGGCTCATTAGTGTAGATATCATGTGCTAGTGTAGCATATCCTAGCATATTACACACACTAGAGAAATAAGCATTTATTTTAATTGTTAAGAGTGGAATCCACACCTGTACAGAGGATGAATTAAAAATGCTCCTGAACTCTTAGATGCAGCGTAGGTCTTATTCACTATACATGTTGGGTATCTACAAAAAGCAGAGCTCTATCACTATCTTCCTGCACAGAGCTGAACACTGGTTTTAACCTATGCAGGTAGTCACTTGACAATTTAGATTAAAAATATCAAGTCTCAATGAAAACCTCATCATCTCTTACTTTTTATGTCGCGCTATGTAAAGATATTCTGTAATCTTCTATCTGATTGGCTATTCACACATCAACCAATAAAAAACTGTAAGTATCTCAATATTACCCCTTGCTGTGTCTTTTCATTTTAAATAAGACCAACAGGAGATTAAATGAGTTTACAATGAGATAACTCTCAGCTGCTTGTGCAGCAAGTACTAGAAGATTAGATTTCCAGTCTGTCTTCTAAATTAACATATTCTGAAATATTATGAAAAATCACCTCCTGCTTACATGTATACCATGAAGGAAAAAAAAGAAAGAGACTTTTTATATATGTAATAGATGATGAACCAACATACACGTGAGCACTTACCACAACTGCAGGGCTAAAGGGCACAGCCACTTTTTTAGTTATTGCTAGATAGCCTGGTGCTGAGGCTGTAAGTCTGTAATTTCCAGGTACAAGCAATCTCCAGTAATCACCATCCTTGGCTGTAGAGAAGAAGAAAATAAAATCCAAATAAATATGTATAAAACTAATTATGCAGCTAAAGAGAATGGACTGTATATCTTGTTAGCATCTTTTGTATTCCTGTCAGCCCTTTCCTTTTGTCTGCCTGAAAGCATTCTTCTGTAAGGGTTGTATAAATATATCATTACAGGTTTTCTTCTTTTCAGGTAACCAAAACACAGATTTAAACTCTGAAGTTGTGCTGCGGCCTCCATGAAAGATCTTGCCTCTTGCTGAGGCTGAAGGCTCTCCAGCACACTGAAGGAAAGGACAGTCTGGGACATTGTTCTACTTCAGAAGCACCCCCTGGCCAATGCGCAGCTCCTGTTAAGTGTCTCAGTTTCAGTTTGCAATGCAACGTGGATTTTTAATGTCCCTCAGTATTCTGAAAATCCAAATTTAAATACATTTTATTCTCGTCAAATGTAAATAAATAAGACCACCTTTCTGAATTTATCTTGCTGCAAAAGCTATAAATGATCATTTCCTGGAACATTCCACATGTACCACCCCTAAAGCATCATTATCTACATGTTTCAGTATCCAGGCAACGTCTAGGGCTTCTTTCTTCTGTCTAGCTAAACAAAGAAATGAAAGTTTGAGCCACTCGGGTCAAAGAAAGGCTCCTACTGCACTGAGTGTTACGGCAGACCATCTTTTTCAGTCACAGAATAAAAACGCGTCATCCTCTTCTCTAGAAATGACCCTCTCCTATTTTGACAAAGAATCAGATCCTCCCTGCACCAGAAGTGGGCAATCATCTAACTTGTCACAGGCTAATACTCTGAATTTCTCTATCTCCACGCAGAATTTCAGCAGACATTGCAAGGCTATTCTAAAGGTCAGTTAGCAGTGCCATTTAAAGTACTTGGCCATGTTCTTACTGTTCCTTGAATGCTTTTTCAGCACATCTGCAGCTACACAGCGCACAGAGGGAAATATTACTTAAATGTCTGCAATTCGCACGGTCAAAAAATGTCAGTAGTCAGTCCAGTTGTTCCCAGACTTTTCTCTTCATAAAACAGAAAGGAAAAAAATTACTGCTGCAGAGCTACGATAATGATCTATTCTAATTCCTGGCACTGGAACAAAGCTGAATTTTAACTCATGAACAAAGGAACAGGGGAAAAAAAGTCAAAGAATATTTATCCTTTTTGAATGTGCTAAAATTCAAGTACTTGTTTTCCTCACTGTTTTGACAATACATGACTTCCAGCCTTATACACGCACAATGATGTGAAAGGATTCATGGTTAGATGCTTTTTTGGATCGTAGAAGCATGAGCTGTAGTATCGTATGCATCACTCTCATACCTCAAAATATCTCTTTGCACAGCTTATTCCCTTTTTATTTCTCCTGAAAATTTATGTCCAGCCTCTATACGTTTTGCCTTCTTATATACAGAGAAAGAAGGTGGCTAATGTTATCATAGACTGTTCTCCTGCTTGGCAGAAATGCTGCTCTCTTTGCAAGTGATGTGAGAACAAACACAAATAGAGGCCAACTGAAGGGTCTACCAGTCCTGTTCCATAGTATTCTGCATCTCTGTAACCATATAGCGAGACATATCATTGAGAAAATGACCATAATGTTATGGTCATACATAAAGCATTGGCATTTTATTACTGTTTTTCTAATTAGTATCTTGTACAAGCAAAAAAAATTGCCGTTCAGAATAAGAAAGCATAGGTCTACAGGCAAGACTGCAAGTTGACACTGTGCGAGCTACTTTTGAATTCATTCCTAGAATAAAGCACACCACCGCTGAAGAGGTGATGCACAATTTTCTATAAACACCAACATGATATTTTCCTCTTCTAGAGCCGCCCTTCTAAAAAAAGTCACATAATTGTAAACAGCAGAGAAAATTTATCTTTGCAGGAGGAAGTTAACTGGAAGTGTCAAGAATTTACATACCAGAAGGTACGACTGCATCGTAAGTCATATAACAGTGTCGGACTACAATTTAGCCTTCAAACTCAAAACGTCACTGCCGACAGGACTTTAAACGCTGGCAGCATTGTGAAACACTACTTGCACCACAAATCGGAAGACAAGCTAAGCACGAATAACCAAGAGCTGCCAGAGATCCCAACAACCAGCCTCCAGCTACTCTGAGAGCAAAATACAAGAGAAAGATTCATGAAATTCTGCAGGCAACAAGCTTCTTGAGGAACAACATGTCCTCCTGGCTTCAAAATTTTGCTCCCTTAAAGCTTCAGCTAATAAGATCTGAAATGGCTCCAGGTTGCCAAGCAGAGGGAGTAGCAGTATATTCCAGCACTTTTTGTCTTCCTGAGGTACAACACTCACCTGATGTAATGTCATGGCTTATCCCCTCCACAGAAATTGTAGCATTTGCTATTGGATTGCCCTGAAGATCTTTAACAAACCCCTTCACTCCTCGATGAATCTAAAATAAATAAATAAAGTCAGCAACACATGGGATATCACTGGAAAATTCTTAAGAAAAGAGAGCGTTTTCATGAGTGAAATATCTATTGATATATCTAATGATACATGTTATGGATCCCACGGTCTACGTGCCGACAACTATCAAGGATAATTACTAAACATCATAATGGAACAAACAGTAAAGAGGAAAAATAATTCAGCTGGTAGCTATACCAATTTCTCTGTGCAATGCAAGCATTTCTCAGAAATATGCAGCAAATCATAATATATGTGAACACTGGCTTGAAAGCCTTTGTCACTGGGGATTAATGAATGTGCTGAAAAGCTCTGAAAGACAGCCGAAAAAAAACCAACTACTTTTTTTTAAAGTTTCATCAACTCTAAGAAATTAGGGCTAATAACGGACATAACTGCTTAAAAGTGGAACATTAACAAGGTTAAATGCGGGCACTTGGGCTTTGATGCGCAATCCCTGTGTGAGATGCTCGAGCTCTCTACTGGGCACCCAAAACATCCAGGTCTTTGAGCCGGGACCACATAGAGTCACAACACGGCCTGCAAGAGAAAGGTGATGGTGGGTCACGTCCTAGTTCCTTCTTGCTCTTAGGCAACATACTCCAGGCAACAGCACCAGCAGTACCTAATCTGTCTGTTGCCAGCATATATGAAATTAAAGCACTGATGTGACTGCAGTGTGTGGAGAGACCAGTCCTGCTGGTATTTCTTAAGCACGGTCTGAAAGCAGACTGAGCTCCTCAGGGGCAAGAGGCTGAGGATCAGCTACCTTTTCACAGCCTGAGATAGGGAGCTCTCAGCGCTGGGGAGAACGGGACATTTTGAACCTGTGCAGAGATGCATCTCACTGGGAGCCTGGAAATTAAGTGGGGAAGTGCTGTGGAGTTCAGGCTTCTCTCTGATTCTGTGATATTTGAAAAGACTTGTGGATCACAAATCTTATTTTGAGATTTTGATGTTCCCCTTTATGAACCTATATGGCGTATTCAGCTGCTATAATTTAGTTCACCAGACTCCTCTAATTTACACTATGGGAGAAGCCTGACACAGATCGGCTTAGAAAGGCAGAAAGTACGTATTTGCACTGTCCTCAGCAATCACAGGGGAGCTGGAGCAGAGAGCTGGACCTCTTATCCTGTAAGAGGATAAAAACCAATGCCAGATAGACCATCTGAACTTCAAGCATAAAGCCAGCAGCTCCACAGGAGCAGAGGAAGTTGGCAAAATAATTTCTTACACGTTAGTAATTTGAAAATGCAGTGACACCATAGTTTTCCATGAGTCAGAGAAAATTAACCCATGTGCAAAGGAGCTGAACAATTTGAGATGGATCCCATCATAAACAGGTAAAAACCTGCAGTGCAGATAGAGCTTTTTCCTCAGCCCACATACAACTTACTAATAGAACTGTATAACAAACATTTCAAATATTCGAGTATTTCAGATTTCTGGCTAACTAAAGCATTTCTCCATGAATAAATTCTTAAAGAAATGAATGTATTCCTTGGCCAGCACTGCTAACAAAGTATGTTTCTGATTTTGCAATCCCAGGTGTGCAGCTGTTAATGATATCAGATAAATTTGTGATCTTTAACTACAATATCCAGGTTTCAGAAAGTCGAAACTCCCACGCTGCTTGGAACCATCATTTCAGTGCAGCCTGTTACATTGGCATGAGATGATTAAAAAAACCCACAACAACGACAACAACAACAAAAACCCCCAAAACCCCAAACACACACATATACAGATCTATTTCAGGAGTCTTAACTTCTAACAACCCATTAACACAAGATTATCTAAACCCATGACTACGCTTTACACTTCTAACCAGATTTTGTACAATTTTTAATGGAATCATCACATTGACAGCTCTACATTTAATATCAGCAGCTCTCGCAATCAGAGAGCAGCAGAGTATCTACAAAACCAGGATTAGCAATGTCCCTCGACGCTACACTGAACTGTCAGGCAGCTCCAGTCCAGTGCAGCCGTCTAGGCTCCCTGTACGTCCAGAGCGATTCACCCCACGTCTGTAGGCACACTTTGCTATCTGCAGAGGGCAATCCACCTCTCTTAGTATACACATCAGTGCTGGAGGAACAAATTACACACTCTGGTGCTGTGTATTACCTTCCGTTGAGGAAGCCGACACAAATCATTTAAATTAAATGTCTGTAACAGCTTAGGTAAGGTGAGATTAATTCCATACTCTAACATCATCTTTCTTTTTCCCCTCTTCTTCCACATATTTAGAAAAATCACACAGGATTTACCACCTGAGAGACATACAAGAATTATGGAGCACCGACTGGATTAATACGAAATTTCAAATTAGATGTTCACACAGCACAAAGTTTAGAAGTTTTAGGTACAATAACTAGAGTTTGCCGTCCTCTTTTTTGTTACCTGCTCGATGTAATTGATAAGGGAGTTCTTGTTGTCCTCCCAGTAGCCCTTCAGAGTTTCTTCAGGTGGGAGTTTTTCACAGCTCCATTGTGATTTCAAAGCAGTTGCTGCTGAAGTAATTGAAATCCTGCATTCCTCCCAGGATGCTGTACCATGCACCGCCATTAGTTGTTCCTGCATTTTGCATTGTTCTGAAGTAAACAGAGTAAAGGGGGGCATGTGAGATGCTGGGGCTGTTAAGAAAAGAATAGCTGTAAATACAGCTGGTGCAGTTCTATTTAATCAGCTTAGTTCTGAAATCAGAAGCATTAAATCAGAGAAACCAACAAGACAATTAATTCCCCAGAACACTTTCTTCCCAAGGAAAGTTTAGAAAAGACTTAACACCTGGCCTGTATACTTCTACCTGATGTTGCACCTGGCCTGTATACTCCTACCTGACCCGTTTTTGGATAGCTGACATATAAATTACTATTTTTTCTCTTCAGGAGCAGAAAATTATTTCCGATTATGGCTAAAATATTTCCAGATGAAAGTAAAAGGTGATCACTTTGTAAACCAAGAAGAATGACAATTAATTATAAAGCAAATGAAACATGACAAAGTGCCTTTGAAAAAGAGGTTTATAAAGACTGGTCAAAAACGTGGGTTTTTTTTTCTGAAAATGTAAGGTTTCAACTTAGTAACATTTTACAAGAAAAGCATCTGTTTGCTAAGGAGTATTCTTTGTCAAGCTTCTCGGCATAGATTCCAAATATTTATGATTTTCCACAAAAAAAAAAAAAAAAAAAAACCGAAAAGCAAACTTCCTATAAACTTCCTTTACACAGAAATTTTTCCATGGATAGGGGTATTTCCCACCCACTCAATGCCTCTGCAAAATCAGTAATCAATACATTAAGAGAAACATCATTATTAATGCAAGTTTAATCATAGGAATTTAAAAATATATACAGTAGCATCATCAATAGGAGTAAAAACTTCATGGGAAAGATGCACTCTTTCACAACTCTGAGCCCCTCCTCTTACTACATGGAAATATTGGCTATTTTCTCAAATCAGTGAGCCGACAACCAAAGTGGTTTCCAGTTTTGTAACGGGATCAACCAGCTGGGGAGGGACTGTGGCTGTCCCCAGGAGGGTTGTAAATATATTCTTTGCAGAAGCTGATGTAGAATTAGCGCTTGCCTTCCCAGTCTGTCTAACTAGCAGAGTCAGTGGATTTTCAAACGGAGGACTGAAAAGAAAAAGGCCACCAAGCATTTTGAGCATCCCCATGGAGGTCACTGAGGGATTTAAAAGTGCTTCAAACACAGCTAATTCATTCAGCCCTATGCTCCCCCATGCAAGCCACATATGAGACCTAATGCAGTCTCTTTACCGAAGCACCGGTGTTGTACACCCGTCCAGAAACGTCCAGAGAGCTGATGTCATATCCAAAAGAGAACACCGAGGGCAGCGAACAGATTGAGTCAGGTGGGATTCTGCCAAAACATTAGGGTGAATCTATTTTCTGCCAACCAGGCAATGGGACGCCTAACTACTGATGGGAACAGGGACTTTTCAGATTCCTAAAAGAAAATTTTTATTTCTAAGCCTTTTTTAGATGGCTGAAAAATGAGGACACCGAAGGCAAAGGTGCTCCTGGGAGGGACAGCTCTGATGTCCCACCTGGCAGAATGCAAGGTGGACCATTCAGCAGTACACAGCGAGAGAGCAACAGAGTCATGAGTAAAATCCTGACAGCAGTGCTGGCTGCCAGGCATCTGTTCCAGACACTAGATAATGTTGTTTTTCTTGATTTTTGCCTTTCTTCTACAAGAAATAAGGAATTCATGAAGACGAGAACTGGGAGCCGAAGGGCATGACATAATTTTACTGTGGTGCCTACAACTCTTGACCATTACTGCTCCAATTCTCTGGAAGTTTCTCCCTCCTCCCCAGCTCCCAACGCAAGGTGATACTCGGGGATGCCCTAGTTTTGCAAGGACAGAATAAAGAAGCAATTATTTTCCAGTTTTGTGCACAATGTCCATATCCTATAGTTTGTTTCCCAGCTCCTGGCCTGGGCCGCAGTTTATACGTGTTGCTCCTGAAAAAATTCAGCTTGCACCACTGAGCTGCAGGTGATGATCTGAATCTCTGTGACACAGAATGGGGTGAAAATAGCCTAGATCTAAACTGTGGCCTACTACATCTGTAATCTGGAGAGCATCAGGCTGGCTACATACAATTTGCACTCTTTACCTGCCTGCTCAATATGGCAGTAAGTGCAATATCCGAGAAATCAACAAATTTCAAAAGATTTATTCAACATTGTGGTAACTTTGCTGCCACTGGTGAAGCTCTCTAACTGCCCTATTCCTTCTTGTTATGCACACGGCATACATGACCCGCATGCACACCACCACACTCCCAAAGCCTCTCGTTTTAACAAAGGGTAGCACAAAACTAACTTTCCTGTACTTTAACAGGGGGCACTCTCTGCAGATCAGAAAGGCTTAGCAGACCTCATATATAGCTGAGATTCATGCCCTTCACTCTGACCACGAGCAGGACTTTTCTTTGAAACTGAGCAACACAAACACTCCTCTGTTGCACTGCTCTACTATCCTGAAGGACTACAGTGTCTCTATGTTAGTACTCACGTAAATAACCTTAGATTATGGGACAAAATTAATTTCCTCAGCTTTTACAAAAAGGAACTCCAACCTTCACAAAGAAAGTGGAGCGCAGGGTGTGCCCCGGCATCAGATTTACTTAGACTTTGAATTACAAGCTACAGCACCAAGCTAGTTCAGCTTCTACACATATAAAGACAGTGACTTTTATCAGGACAGGATGAACTTGAGCCTTGTGCATAATAGGGAGAACATGTGCCTCCTCCACGTGTCTTATAAAATCCTAAAAAAATTTACCTAACATTGTTTCCGAAAGTGGTAACATGAAAGGCAATTCAAGTTAGGAGCGAATTGATTGAGTGCCAAGAGTGATTTGAGAGTGTCTGAAAATAAAAAGACACTTAAACAATAGCCTAACAGTACAACAATGTAAGCTGCTTTGAAATGCTATTTTTGTAATGACACGAATCTGATTAGTCTCAGGTGACCCTGCAATGGCAGAACAAGCAGAACAGGGATGTAGCTAGCTAGTAATTCATTGCTATCTGCTCCTTTCATTTATATTTCCAAATAGATACTCCACACAAAAGAAACATTAAAAAAACATTATCCATGTTGAAAAGTTATGCACTCAACAGGTAAGGAAATGCTAAAGTTAAAGCTGTTTGTGCAAATTTAATTTGGCTTTCTTATACATAAGTGAAATCATTAATTACCTACTGATAGGGAGAAGACCAGTGTTAAAAATTGCATGGATTTTATGTACAGGCTTGTTTTTTCCTGGGGCCTGGTGGCTAAAAGGGCCTTTCCTGAACACAGAATGACCTCTTTGCCTTTGCTTACTGCTCTCTGAAAAACCTACAAGGATCAACTAATTACAGAAGACAACTAATACAAAGCAAGTGTAACAGGCATCATGGTCTCAGATTTAGCACAAAGATGCTGTTGGGGGAGCTATTTTCTCTGTGCCCCTGCTCCACAGAAGAGAGTAACTACTAAGTGAGAAAAAAGGTGAGAAAAACCTCAGAGCAAAGTGTATTAAGAGACAGAAGCAAGTGTCAAATATTCCTGTACATCATCTGCTCTCTCCACCCCAAAACCTGAGTGGAGAATTGCCACCTTGCCTGGGGCTGATGAGGAAATCCTGAGGTTTGACAAGAGGGAAGGACAGAACATGAATGCAAGAATGCAATGGAGGGTTCATCCTTACTTCCAGTTTGAGACAAGGGCTGCTACCAGACTTTTCTGCCACCAGACATTCAGCCTTCCTACTGAGAGAACCCAGGTATTCAGAAAAACGTATGCAAAAGCAACCCATACTCATATGAGAGAGCCACCGGTGTGTTATCCCTGGATAATACTGAGGAACCAATGAAGACTGCTGCTGGCCCACCAGGCAGTGCTGTCTTTTCCAGAAGGCAGAAGTTCCTGTGGGTGAATGATACGGGCAAAGAAATTGATGCAGCTCAACTGGGGGCACCATAATAAGCTCTATAGGGCAACAGCAACTTCAGTAATTTATTAGAAAGAAAAATCAGCCCTTCCTAGGTCCGGGTTCTTGGTCTGATGAGGTACTGTCCAAGGCAGCATCTAGGAGAGCACAGCCTCTCTCACTTAGCTCAGCTGTCCTCCACTCCCTCCTCCTTCCTTCCCTCACCGCTTCTCTGCTAAAGCCATGCACCCCTTTCTACACCCAACACAGCTCCAGTACCTACTCTCACCTATTTTCCATCTCTATTCCTAGTTCTCTTTTCTCTACAAACTTGTGGCAAGTCCTCTTTTATTTTGCCTCTGTTCAACCCAGGAAGATCACACAGAGATGCGAGCGTAACCTATAGATGCCCA